ATGGCCCACTACAAACAAGCAAGGAATGTTATCAGATCGTTTAAAAAGTAACAACCTGGCACCACTGGTGTTGGAAGTGCTTAATGGGGTGCTTAATGAATCAAGGCCATCTTGACTTGGGATTACAAAGCCGAGCAGAATCTTAAGTGTGTGAGAAAGGCTGACAGTAAAAATGAAAAACAAACACAGAAAAATAGGAATTTACTGTCTAGTGTCAGGTTGATAAGATAGAGAGATATGTTGGCAAAATTATGTTTTACTTTCACCTCTGGAACTGTGAATCTTAGCATGACTGTTCTGTGGTTTTTTGTAATCTTTGCTGTATATATCTCAAACCTTGCAACTGCAAAAATTACACTCAGACTTTCATCAAGCTCCTTTTGCGTCTGTTTGTCACTCGCCGACTCCTTGTCCACCCTCTCGACGACCCTGTTCCCATCAGACTGAACTGCCCCGGTCTGGGCTGGTCCGTTGCAAATAATAAATGGGCCTCAAAGTCAGAAAACAAAATGTTCTGTCACAGTTGCCTTGGATGTTCAAGATTTAAGAAAGGGTCTCTTTTTTAGGGGAGACCCTATTGCTATTATTCTGCTAAATGGACATAGTATTAAATCATCTCCTATGAGTTATGGTTATACCCATTAATAGTGCCTCTCTCAAACCTCATTAGAGAAGTTTCTTTTTGTAGTAGACGGCAATCAACACAGAGACCCACAACTGCTCAACATGGAAGCGAGTAAGAGGCAGTAGGTTAGTACAATGCTCAGCCCTAATGGAACATATTTCATACTCTTGTGAAAGAGAAGGCAGAAAGATTTTAAGAGCTGGAGGTGGTGGATAACTATAATAAAACACTGTTTTCCAACCACAACAGGGTAGCTGCACACAACTCACAGTGGTTGTTACAGCATGCAAAAGACCTGTGAAAGTTCAAACCAGATAAGAATCCTAGCATGGAGGGGAGATGTGGATGGAGGAGGAGGTAGGCATGAAGTCCTACACCTAACTGAGGAGCTATTGCATCTGACAACTACCGGGAGAAGAGTCAAGCTTCCTTAAGGTTATAACCCATGGGAGGTCAACCACCCTCCAGGGGATGAACCCATCCATACCCAAGAATATTCATGCAACACAAATTGGACTTGATGGGCCTTAAAAATAAAAAGGACATGAAGCTAGGTGAGAAGGGAGGTAAAGGGTAGATCTGGGAGGAGATGAGGGTAAAAATTACCAAAATCTATTGAATGAAATCCTCAAAAGAAAATGAATAAAAAAATTTTTTAAGGATTTGTTATTATATTCCTCCATCTTGGACAGATTATAAAATAGTCAAAAAGTGGCACACGCCTTTAGTCCCAGCACTCAGGAGGGAGAGGCAGGCGGATCTCTGTGTTGGAGGTCATCCTGGTCTACATAGTTCCAGGCCAGCTAGGGCTGCAGGGAGATCCTGTCTCAAAAACAAAAACAAAATTAATTTTTAACAAGTTTCACTACTGGGATAAACAAACAGTTAAAAGTAAAAGAGCTATTTCATGCTCTGCTTTCCTCTCCAGGTATCCAACCCCTGGCCTGAGCACTCCCTGTATTTTTGGTCAACTTTCAAATACATTCAACTTTCTTACATCTTCAGTAGAAAAACTGGCCACCTAATGGAAGATAAAAGTTCAGGCTGAAATGATCTGCATCATCCTCAAATGCTGAGACCAGTATGACAAAGGGATGCAGGAAGGCAGGGAAGGAAAAAGAGTATGTATGGGTAGTATATCCCCAACAGAAAAGGCATCAGCATGCTCAGAGGGGCAACGATGGCTCCAACTCCTACAGCCAAAAGGAAACAGGCACTTCCTGGTTTCCCCTCTTCTGGAAATCCTGACACACAAGTAGACAGAGAAGTGTTACTACTCAGCTCAGGGAAGCCATACTTAAAGTAATCTAAAGTATTTTCTCAAAACATCAGGACTACTCAAATTCTACTAAAGTCTTTACCTTCAAATAAAGAACATGAAGAACTGAAGACATTATAAAAGTCCAGTTAATAACTTATTTTTATAAGTTTTGAGTAAGACAAGTAAAAATAGTTTAATAGTAAGTACAGAAATTATCTTAGGGTTTATAAAAATTCAGAAATCAGCAACACTCAGACTCCTGAAGCCCAAGTGTTACTATGAAGCTAGCTTGCTTTACTGTACTTAGCAAATTACTGTTCAAATGAATATTTCTCCAACCTTTTTCTATGTCTTTAAAAGATTGCTTTGTTATTCTGGAGGCACCATATCTATGATCGTTCTCAATTAATTCTTCTGTTTCCAGTTTCTTTAAATCATGAAAAGAATCCAGTGCATCATCTAGGCTTTAAAAAAAAAACTCAGAAATGTCAAATTTTACTATAGCAACTGAAAAAGACTATTCAAATATTAACAGAATTAAAAAATGAGAAAGATGCAAAAAAACATTTTAAATACAAAAAATGCATACAAAACATAAAAATTAAGTTAAAAATCCTGATAACACACTACAAGCATCTTGCAACCTTTTCAACACATTAAACAGGTCTAGTTTAAAAGCCCTAGAATGCTCGATGATTGCCAAACACTTTTGAACTCCAATAACTCAGACAGAACAGGTATTGTTATCTATAGTTTAAGTCAAAATAAGATAATTTGTATTTAGCATAAAGAAACTGAACCCAAAGCAGTCAAACAGCTGACAAGAGAGCACAGACCAGAGCTAGAATCCTCTGTGTTATCTGCAACTTAGCTCAGGATCGAAACTTCTAGTGCAACACTGTTCAAAAGGAATACAATGTAAGTTACAGATATTTTAGCATTTTTTTCCTATTACAGCAAGAACATAAAAAGAGGCAAAACTTTCACAATATTTTTTATTTACTGTAGTACATCTAACACACTATTTCATCATAGAATGAATATAAAAGATATGAAGGTTGTTTTGGTTTGTATATAAAGAACTCCCTAAAGGCTCTGGTGTTGAAGGCTCAGAGTCTAATTGGTGATCCTGGATGACTGGATTATGAGTATGCTAATTTAATAACAGGTTAATCCACTGATGAGTTCAGAGTAAGAAGTGGGGCACTGGAGATATCAGTGGCAACAGTTTCTTCAAAGGTTTATCTTGTCCTGGACTAGTCCCACCTGTCTCTGCTTCCCAGCTACCATAAAATGTGCAGTTCTGCTCTTCCACACCTTTCCACTATGACATTTTGTCTCATCACAAGCCTAAAAACAATGAGCCAGCAATCATGACTATAAGATTATATTTGAAACCATGAGCCAGAGTAAATCCCCCTTCTGTTGTCAGGTACTTCGTCACAGTGACAAGGAATAGATGAACACCAAAGCACTTTACATCTTAACCCTATGTCTGTGAAATCCCAGGATGTATTTTATACTTATAGTGTACCTTGTTGCAGGGCAGCCCCCTTTTAAGTACTGAATAGCTACTTGTGGCCTATACCTACTGGCTAGACAGCACACTTTGAGACTAGATTGTAACTAGGGATTGAAAAAAAGAAAGTTCAATGGTATGAAAACCTTCAGAGTCTAAAACCTTCAGATTATAATTTGGATTACACCCAGAATTATAAAAACATAAAAATGATAGCAGTGGAGGACAGTAGTAAGTATGTATGTGACAAGAAGTGCCTTGTCGACATAACAAGTTCTAGGACAGCTGGAGCTACAGAGGGATCCTGTCTCAAAAATATAAATAACAAACAAACATACATACATACATACATACATACATAACATACATACATAACATGTGAGTACTTTAAAATATACCTCACACTGTTCAAAGTACTTTATATGAATTAATTCATTTAAGTAGAGAAAGAGGCAATCTGTTAAAAACAAAACATACTTAAAAATTCACGCTCCCAAATATTACCTTAAAAATAGTTTTCAGCATAGTTGCTGTTTTCATCTCCACAATGATCTCATAATTTCATTTTGTATATGCACATGTCCTTATGGTTTTATATTATTTCAGAATGCTGGCTCTTTTGACATCCACAGCATTTCTTTTGACCCATGTTGGTATCATTAAATAATACTCAATTTGAAATTTTATTTTACCTTATCTTCTACTGTAAATACTGTCTCTTCTACAGAGCTGTATGATACATATTTTGTAGTTGCCATTTCACTTTCACAACTATCTAATACACAGTACTCAACCCACTACTAAGTAGACAATAGACATTAGGCTGCTTGTATTGCAGCTTTGTTCTCAGTTCCTCCACAATTTTTAAAGAAACGGAACAGAAGGTTGGGGATGTAGTATCAGTTGGCAACATGGAAGAGATCCTCAATTTGGCCAGGTATGATGGCACACTCCTTTAATTCCAGCACTCTAGAAGGCAGAGACAGGTAACTGTTCTAGCCCAGCCCAGTCTGCATAGAGTTCCAGGTTAGTCAATGCTGGATTTGATCCCCAGTACCTGAGCATGGTACGTATACTCAGGAGGCTGGCGGATCAAAAATTCAATGTCATCCTTAGTATTTCATGTTTGAGGCCAGAATAGGTACATGAAATCCTGTCTCAAAGCAAACAAAAAGATTAAAAAAAAAATTTAAGGGAAACAGATCTTCATTTGAATTCTGGAAAAATAATTGTAAAAAATTAATAAATTAGGGCAGGCAGGTTGGCTGAATGAGTAAAGGCACTTGCTGCCAAGCCTGATGACTAGAGTTCCATGCTTGAACCCCTCATGGTGGAAGGAGAGGACCAACTCCTACAGGTTGTCCTCTGACCTCCAGATGAATGCCTTAGCCCATGCCTGTAGACACACACACACACACACACACACACACACACACACAGAGTAAATATATGCAATAAATTTAATGAACTAATAAATTAGCCTCTATATATCAGATTCCAGATCCCTTCTACTTCCTCTCAAAAACACACACACACATAAACAAGCTGCCCTTTTCCACTGCTGTTTCTTGAGTTACTGACCAGATAGTAACATTCAGAATATCTTACCAATTCACATTTAAGTGTTTGAACAAACTGTAGAAAGGTGTTGTATGATGCTTTCTTTCATCAGAATAACAACCTAATGATGAAACAACTTTATCTCCTGAGCAATAGCTATCCAAATCATCTGTCAATAAAAAAAAAAGTTAGGACATCAGATGCTAATAATCTCATCCTAAAGGAAAGACACCAAAGTCACTGAATGCTTTATCTATGTCTCCCAAATGAGAGCTTACAGAACAAATACCAAATTCTATCTTGATACTGTACTTTACTGACTACAAAACACTTTTCCATTCTTATTCAACCCAGGCAATGACTCTGTGAAGTAAGCTTTATTTATACGTATTGTACAGATTAGGAACCTAAAGACCAGACAACTAGTGTGAACCAGGTGTGTTACTTGAAAAACAGAGTATGCCTTCTTTCCTCCTAATATGATGCCTCACTAGTCCTCAAACATTTGTTTTAGGAAACTGTTAGTCTCCATCTAAATCCAGTGAAAAGAAAGACTTCTATGGCAAGAAATTTAAATGCTGTTACAGTTTGAATATGAGATATCTGCCTCCCATTGGCTCATGCTCTGAACAGTTGGTTCCCAGCTGGTGGCACTATTTTGGAAGGTTACAGAAACTTTAGGAGGGAGGACTTGCTAGGGAGGACTTGACAGGAAGGTCATTGAGCAAGTGTCCTTAGAGGTATCTTGATCCTGGCTCCTTCCTGTCTTGCTCTGCTTCCTGTCAGCCGTGAGGTAAACAGTTCTCTTCCACCACATGCTGCATCGCCATGTAGAGCTGAGAAGTCATGAACCAGGTATTTGGTTACAGTGACACAAAAATCTACTACAGATATTCTGTTAACTACATGAACCTTTTCCTAGAACTTGTTCCCTCCTTAGAAACTTAGATCTTGTGTTTGGTTTGTTTGCTTGTTTTAGTTTCTAGAAAGCTGGAAGTTTTAAGAGAAATTTCAAATTAAAAAAAGGTTTAATTTGCAATCATTTTGAAGATAATGGACTCAGGACCGGGAAGATGGCTCAGTGGGCAAAGTACTTGTAGCGCAAGCATAAGGAACTGTGTTTGGATCCGTAGCACCCATGTAAAAAATTGGGCATGGTGATGCATGTCTGTAACCCCAGCACTGGAGGACAGAAACAGGAGGATCCTAGGGGCTCACTAGACAGGGAGTTGTCACTTTTCTGTTGCTGTGATAGAAACACTGACCAAAGCAATTTATAGAAGGAAGAGTTCTTTTGAGCTTACGGTTCCAGGGGAATTACGGTCCGTCATGGTAGGGAGGCATGGTGGCTAGAGGTGGCTGGGGCAGGAACAGCAGAAGCTAAGCTCTCATATCATTACACAAGCACAGGGAGCAAGAGAGCTACTGGAGATCGGCAAGGCTTAAGAACTCTCTAAGCCCACCCCCAGTGACGTGCTTCTTCCAGGATAGCCACACCTTCTGAGACCTCCCAAAAGAGTGCCACCATTTGGGGACAAAATGTCCAAGTATTTGGAGCCTATGGGGGACATTTTCATTCAAACCACCACAGGAGTCAGGCTGAAATGCTCAGCTCCAGAAGCGGTGAGAGACCCTGTCTCCAAAATATAAGGTAGAAGAGCTAGAGACATGGCTCAGCAGTTAAGAGCACTGACTGCAGAAGGCCCAAGTATGGTTCCCAGCACCCACATGGTGGCTAAAAACTAACCATAACTCCAGCTTCAGAGGATTTGATGCCTTATTCTGACCTCCACAGGCTCTGCACAACACAGGTTCACTAATATATATGCAGGCAAAACACTCATACACATAAATTTTAAATATATAAATAGAAGGTGGAGAGTGACAGAGGAAGATGCCAACATCCACCTCTGCCCTCCACACATACACACAAGAGTGCACACACCTGCACACTCAAGTGCATACACAGACATGTATTCCTACCACACAAATACACACACACACACACACACACACACACACACACAAATGACTCAGTAGTCACTGGAATTTTTTCATAGTGAAGTAATGCTTTAGAAGAATTATTTTTCAAGTCAACTCTAGTTAAAAACTATATAGATATACTGACCTAGTTAGTTGGTATAATCTACCACAGCAAACATTCATACATTATTTACACTTCGTAAGTATTCCAAATGGCTGGAAATGATGATGTATACCTATAATCACAGCACACAGGATGCTGGGGCAGGAAGACCCCAAGTTAGGAAACAGCCTGGCCTTATAATAAGATCCTATTGCAATTTAAGTGACAAAAATTAAAAATGTAGATCCACCCCCACCACAGCCCCTGCCAGCCTCTCTCACAGGCAGGCTCCAATTTCTGCACCTCAAAACCCAGGAGTAGCTTCCCAAACCAGATTAACTAATCACCCTACCATAGATCCCCAAGTCCTCACCCAGGAAGTCCTCTCACTGCCAAATTCCCAGCCTCAGGATCAGGCAGACAGACCTGCTCAGTCAGGGCTCTGACCACTCTAAAAACTAGCAAGACTTGAATACCCAACAACTTGTCTTCCACATCCAAACAAAAAGTAACTAAGCTACATAAACAATATTAACAGAACCAAAATTAAATTAAGCTAAAGCAGAGTACAAGTCCCTGTTGAACACATAACTAACAAAAGAACATCCATATGCCCAAATGACAACGCAAAATATGAAAAACCAGGAAAATATGTTCCCAACAAAACCCATGAGTTCTACAGAAGTGCACAGCAGAACCTGTGCACTTGAGAACCACCCTGCAGAACCCCAGGATGCAGAATTTAAAAAGAGCAATCATAAAGATGATCAAAGAACTTCAAGAAAACACAACTCGAAGAACTCAAAGAGGAAAGGCATAAACTTTTGATGAAAGCCCAAGAATATACAAACATCAGCTTAATGAAACATCAATAACAATTCATAACTTGGAAAGTGAATTCACTAAAGAGATAGAAATAGTGAAGAAAATGGGGCTGGAGAGAAGGCCCAGTGGTTCGAATCTTCTTGCAGAAGACCCAGGTTCAAATCCCAACACCCACATGGCAGCTAACAACTGTTCATAACTCCAAACCCAGGGGATCCAACAGCCTCTTCTGACCTTCGCAGGCATTGTACGACATAGGTGCACTTACCTACGTGCAGGCAATACATGCGTATACATAAGATAAAAATAAAATTTAAAAAAATGTTTTAGAAATAGTGAAGAAAATCCAAGTAGAAATGAACACGGGACTGAAAAACTCAATAAACCAACAGAAAAACATCTCATAAGCAGAATGAATGAAATGAAAAACAGAATATCAAGATTGGAGGACAAAGTTGAAGATCTGGACTCCTTAAGCAAAGACTATGCAAAGTCAAAAAAAAAAAAAAAAAAACCACAGGAATGGAATACTCGGGAAATGTGGGACAATATGAAATGACCAAAAATACGTATTATAGGCAAACAGGAAGGAGAAGAAACTCAAACCAATGGTACCAAACATATTTTCAATAGGATTATAGAAGAAAACTTCCCTAAATTAAGGAAAGATATACCTACAGAGATTCAAGAAGCACAGAGAACACTATTAAGACAGGATCAGAACAGAAAATCCCCATGGCACATCAGAGTAAAAACATTAAACAGAGGGTACTGAAAGCTGATAGGGAAAAACAACGCGTTACATATAAAAGAAAAACCAGAATTACAGCTGACTTTTCAATGGAAACTATAAAAGCCAGAAGAGCCTGGAACAAAGTATTCTCAGTTCTAAATAACCATGGATGCCAACCCCAAATACTTTATCCAGCAAAACTATCTAGCAAGGTCAAAGGTGAACAGAAAATTTTCCATGACACAAATAGGCCGAAAGAATTCATGTTTTCCAAACCAGCACTACAGAATATACTTGAAGCAATACAAAGGACTGAAGAAAGGAATGAATATGCCCAAGAGGCTACAGAAAGAAAATAAAGGTATAACAACAAAAACACAAAACAGGGCCACACAAACACAAAGAAATTAAAATGACAGTGTACAATACACACCTTTCAATAATAACACTAAGTATCAATGGCCTCAACTCCCCTGTCAAAAGACACAGGCTGGTGCAATGAAATCAAGAAAGAAAATCCATCTTTTTGTTGTCTTCAAGAAGCTCATCTCAGCTTCAAGGATAGATACTACCTTAAGGTGAAAGGATGGAAAAAAATATTCCAAAAAATGACCCTAAGAAGCAAGCAGGTATTGAAATTTTAATATCTGACAAAATAGACTTCAAATTAACACTCATCAGAAGAGATAAGGAGGGTTACTTCATTCTAATCAAAGGAACAATTGACCAAGAAGATATTACATGAACATATATGCACCAAACTCTAGAGCACCCAATTTCATAAAATCAGTAGTCCAGGAATGTGAAACAGAGATTGATACCAACTCAGTGATAGTGGGTTACTTTAATACCCCACTATCTTCAATAGACAGGTCAACTGGACAAAGAATAAACAGAGAGACATCTGAATTAAATGACATACTACTTGAAATGGACCTAACAGATGTATACAGAATATTCGACCCAACCACCAAATATACTTTCTACTCAACAGCTCATGCAAGTTATTCTAAAATTGGCCACATTCTGGGACACAAAACAAATCTTGACAAATACCAAAAAAAAACCTGAAATAATTCCATGCCTGCTATCAGGCCACAGTGCAAAAAAAGCTTATAATCAACAGCAAATGAAGCTCTAGTAAATACACAAACTCATGGAGCTTAAACAACACACTCCTGAATCATGAATGGGTCAAAGAAGAAATTAAGAAAGAAACAAAAGTGTTCCTGAAACAAAATGAAAACGAGACCACAACACAACATCGGGACACCATAAAAGCAGTTCTAGGAGGAATGTTTATAGCTCTTAGTGCCTACTTCAAAAAATCAGAAAGAGCACATGTAAATGACTTGACAGCACAACTCAAGACTCTGGAAAGGTAAGAACAAACCAAATCCAAACCTAGTAGAGAAGAAATAACAAAACTCAGAGCAGAAATCAATGAAATAGAAACAAAGAAAATAAAAAAGAAAAAAAAAATCAATGAATCTAAGAGCCAGATCTTTGAAAGGTTAAACAAGAT